ACCGGAGCCGCTATTTCCTTGAAACAGCTCCTCAGTTATCCTCACGAGTCTGAGTGGACCCCGTTCCAGACCCACTACTTCTCAGAAAATCTGGTAGCGCCGGGAATCGAACCCGGGACCTCTGGATCTGTAGCCAGGAACTCTGACCACATAAATTAAACCAACCAAAAATCTCCCTACCAATCTTACAGAAACCCAGACCAACCCAAAACTAAAAAATCTCACCAAAATAGAAAAACGCGTAACAGACCATACACCCCTAACTTAAGTAAAACCCCAGCCAAAATCATCGAACCGGACACGGGGGCCTCCACATGAGCTTTAGGCAGTCACAAATGAACTAAAAACATGGGCATCCTAACTAAAAAGGTAAAAATCATACAAAAATACAAGAAACCACTAAAGACCTCTGTCGCAACCAAAATGAAAAAACTAACAGAACGTAAAGAACTAAAAACAAAAAAAGTCCCCACCAACATGGAAAGAGAGGCCAATAACGTATAAAAGAGCAAATAAATTCCCGCCTGAAGACGCTCCGGCTGATACCCTCAGCCCAAAATAATAAAAACAGTGGGAATAAGACTGCTCTCAAAGAAAAAATAAAATGAAAACAAACCCACTCTCCCAAAAGTATAAAACAAAAAAATAACCAGCAAAACAACGAAAAACAAAAACAAGCCCGAATAATAAGCAGAGCGCAAAATAGGCTCTCTCGCCATAATCATCAAAACGCAAATCCAGAATCTTAACAAAATCAGCCCATAAGAAAGATAATCACAACCAAACATATAACTAACACATATAACACATATGAGTAACGTGGGCCTAATGAATTATTTCAAAGTATTAGCTTCATATCTGCACTGTGGATCTAAACAATATTCACGACCTGTCCATAGTCTCATCCTTGGTGGATGAACCTTAGACGTCATGAACGCGGAGAATGAATTCTAACAAACACATCCCATTGCTGAAGCTAACCTGGAGGGTCACATTGATGATAGTATCTCCAAGGCGGAAAAGGAGATTCGTTGCATCATTGATATTCTGCTACTGCAGTGATGAACAGAAACTGCATGACAATATCCTCATTAATCCCACTGACTAACTAATCCAGTGACAGATACAAGGACTGCCTTTTCGGAACTTCAGGTAGTGGCCTTTGCTCAGCATGACTGGCAATTCATTTCTTTCGGCGAAGTTTTATAGAAAACTGAATTATGACATTCTATTTTGGTGAGAGAGTTAGGTTTAAGACATTTATGAACTTAGTGCCTGGAAACAGATGATGATGATATTGGCGGTGATAAAGATTCAAATAGGACGGCTGAGAACACACAGCAACATTCTTAACATCAGTTTATGTGAACAGCACTGTCAGAAGTGCATCGTGCCGTGCACATGAACGAGATGATCTGTCGGGAACATCAGCGACGTCGAAATACTTCAGAATCACAGGAAGTTGCCTCACTAACTTATGGGTCACTGAGGGCGCGCCATAGCTCAAGCGGTTAGTCGCTGGCTTCCCACCTCGGCGGCCCTGATTCGATCCCGGGTTTGAAGTGAGATTTGTGGTGGACAAAGTGGCGCTGGGGCAGAGTTTCTCCGAGTACTTCGGTTTCCCTTGCCAATCTTCATTCCACCAAATTCTCCATCGTCATAATCAACCGGCTCAGGTACAATAGGCCAATCAGTAACCGAGGTGCCAGCGGCCTCCGTAGTCTAGAGGTAACGTTCCCACCTCATGACTCGTGGTACGCGGGTTCAAATACCCGGCGGAGGTCGTCGAATTTTTAAGGACGGAAAAATTCAGGGAACAAGTCCTCCGGGAGGAACGTTAAGCGGTGTGTCCCGTGTCGTAACTTTACGGCACGTAAAAGAACCTCATATCTCCAAAGGAGATCACTGAGCCAAATTTCAGGACGTTTCCCGCCCAGCAATAGTCTCTAAGGCCTCTGATAGATGGGGGGAGCATTATAGACACCGCTAAGCAAGTGGCCGAACTCGCTTGCTCGGCGGGACTGATGGCACGCACCATTATCGGTAGGGTATAGAGACGGGTAGAATATCATAGAGGGAAGCACAATGGACCAATACTGGTCTAAGTGTATGGGGAAACTCACCCTCTCCAATAACTAACTAACTAACTAACCGACGTGCCGAGTGGACCCAGTTGGACTCCACCCCCCACTATGTGATTCTTTTTAATTATGGGTCATTGAAATGGAAGAAATTTTTTATATTGTAGTCTGAACTCAACTGGCACATATGTAGTTGTCTGCTTGTCATTATTCTTTTAACTTTATCACACAGTATCTTCATCTGAAAGTTTTGGTCATCCCTTATTGATGGAATGTCAGTGACAGTAAAGTGCAATAAAGCATCAAACCACTGAGGGACTTGAACTCTTGTACAGCAAGCAGTTAGTTTATTTTGTAGCCCACAAACTTCACCGCTCTGTTTGGGGAGTATATTTACACTCGAGTGCTTTAGGTACATGATTCAGTTTACGGCCTGAAGACAACTACAGATCTGTGTGTGGATAACAGACTATAAAAAACGCCTAAATGGAAGTTCAAATTTGCATCTATTATAAAATCCTTTTGTATACCGTTATCCGTTATTCACTGCGTCTCTTTTTGTTTCTGTTCTAGTTCCTTGGGCATCACAAAGGTAGCGCCATAGCTCAAGCGGTTAGTCGCTGGTTTCCCACCGCGGCGGCCCGGGTTCGATCACGGGTCTGCTCAAGTGGGACTTGTGGTGTACAAAGTGGCGCTGGGGCAGGTTTTCTCCGAGTATTTCGGTTTCCCCTGCCAATCTTCATTTCACCAATTGCCCTACAACCACCGTCACCTATCATCTGGGCTGGTACAACAAGCCAGATGTGGGCGCAGTACAAGGGAACTAGTCCCACCCCACTAGCAATGATAGAAAAGGGTATCACAACCTGCCCTGGCGTGCGAGAGCGATCTAAATACACATATGTGTTGTCGCTTAGTAACCATGTATTTCATAGAATGATAAAATGTGTGGCTTTGCTATAGTAACATAGCCTAGTTAAACAAAATGTTCTAAATAAACAAACAATTTAATTATTTCAGCACAGCTTATTTGATAAGGGAAGAGTAATAAAACAGTTTATGCAACGGTGGATCCCATTGGTCTTGTCATGATCTCTCTGAATATATAGAGGAGTATTACATTGATATTAAAAACAAAGAAAACAAACTCCGTGACCTGTAGTCCGCAAGCGAACTATACCGACCGAGCGACCGCCGCTTGTCGGCGAAGTTAGTGCCACATTTTGCGGATAGAGGGTGTCACGTGGACATCGCAACGGATCCCCACGGCCCTTAATCTCGGTTTTCTAGGCCGGAGCCACTATTTCCTTGAAATAGCTCCTAAGTTATCCCAACGAGTCCCGGTAGGGTCAAGGATTTTCTCTTCTCTACGTCGTCCAGACCGGCTCTGTGGTTCACCCAACCTCCTATCCAATGGGTACCGGGGGTAAAGCTGCAGGGGCGTAAAGCTGACCACTCACCTGCAGCTAGTGTCGAGGTCAAGGAAATGTGGATCTATACATTCACTCCCCAATTCGTTTTCAAGGCGTAGTGCTTAATTAGTTAAGCACAGGAACAACTTTTTATGTCCACAATTAATACCGACCACGCATACAAAGAAGGCAAGGCATGAAATTTCCGCAACTTACGAGAAGACCTACATACAGATAGTGACATATATGTATCAGCTGAGATACTATATCAATGATAACTAAGGACTCGAATGAGACGTTACTCATGTCTGTCTGTTATCAAAGGGGCCGGAATTCGTGCCAGAATTCAGCCTGTCTCACACTGTAACCCCACAACAACGCTGTGTTACATGGAGCTGAGACGAGTCGAAAAAAAATGCTCGACCAGTCCCTTCAAGAGCGACTCTTTCGAATTTCGGCTGATGCAGTTGTGTGTAGCCAAACATTGCTTTCGGTTTCGACTGCTGTCTGTTGTGGGCTTTTTTCAGGAACTGCAATTATCAATTTAGTCTCATTCCTCGTGTTTCTTTGCTTTGAAAAAAAAAAAAAAGCTAAGTATAGCCTCTGAAGGGCCACTATCAACAAATTTTGAGCGGATCCTTCTTGAACACGGGGCTCGAATTTCACAGTCAAGCTAACAGGCTATCATTCCTTCCTCATATTCGGATTTAAAGGTCGACCTGGTGACCTGCCTAACCTGTCTGAAATTCTTCCTAATTTCCCTCCAGAAACATACCGAGATAGTGCCTCAAATGTGCTGCGGTTCTTCATGCTCTTTCCCATTTATAATACACAAATCGCCTTATCATTGGACGCCATATTGCACAGAGATTTGCACAGAGCGATTTTTCAACGGCTATGAACACGTGAGCTGCAACGCATAAGTTCCCCGATTTGTTTCTGGGTCTATAGCTTCCAGATATGAAGCCTAGTACTGAGTTCGGGTGACACTCCTCATCCTTCAATCACAATTAATCTAATAATTTGTACCCCATTTTTTTTCCTTGGCACTAGAGCCCCAGTCGGCCTAGGCCTACCTCCATGAACTCCGTTCACTTCGGTTTTTCTAGATCTTACACNATTATTATTATTATTATTATTATTATTATTATTATTATTATTATTATTATTATTATTATGGTTACACAGCCTTTTGTTGGGTCTTGGCAGCTTTTCAGTTTTTCCATCCTACACACAGTCGATAGGACTCCTTGAAAATGGAATCAGCCCTTCTCAAGGCCTCTACAGAACAACACAAACACAGAATAAACGCCCACAATATGTTCTTATCACTGAGGTATGCCTCTGGATTTCAAAGCATCATCAAGATCATCAAGATCATCAATGATGGGCAGAGTTTTTTTCTGAAGCGCTAGGCCGCAGCGAGCAACTGCAGTTGACGATTGGCGGAGAATGAACATTCCTTGGTAGGAGTTCCCGCCCCTCCGTTTGGTTGCGTCTTGTTCTATAAAGCCAGTGACTCGGAGTCGATGCCGGCTTATTAGCGTGGTGGTAGTGGTGTGCTGTGCTGAGTGCTGGAGGTGCTGTTACCCTCGCATAACAACGGATTTATAATTCAGCCATGGGAAAGCCAACAGGTAACGCAGTTTCAGTACGATTTATGAAAGAGTTTGGGCAGTTAAACCGAAAGTAGAGGAGGAGACTGTAAACACATTGAAATGGGATATTTTTTGGATTTCATCCATATATTAAAAAGCAAAATTATGAACGACATGTGGGCAAAGTTTACTCATAAATATGATTAACGCGAAAAAATTTAATTGCAGTAATTACTTATATATATGAAAGCGAAGGTCAATGAGGCGTTGTTAGCCCCACGACCAACCCCCAAGCTGGAGAACCACTCCTTGTAGGCTTTCCGCGACTGCTTATTCAATATATTGACAGCTGCCTCCATATCTGGAGGGCGTCTCCTCCACCCGCAACCTAAGGACGCGCCATGCCTTGGTAAAAAGGGACCCACCTAACATTGAGACATAACATGGGGTGGTTTGGGCTGGATTGACGTGGCTCAGGATATGGACCAGTTGAAGGCTATTGTGAACACGGTAATGAACTTTCGGGTTCCATAAAATGTTGGGAAGTCCTTGAGTTGCTGCAAAATTAGCTGCTTCTCAAGGTTTCAGCTCCATGAATGTAGCTAGTTGGTTAGGTCACTGGGAACAGTGAAGTTTGAACGGTACACCCACACTGGAGAAATTAAGTGTGTAGTAAACATTTTGTTAAAATATCCTCTGCGTCTATTGCCGGGGATAGGAATATGTGGAACTTGTCTTTCACATCCTCAAGGATTATTTTAGGAATTGAGGAGCTTTACTTTAATAGATTATGTTGAAAACTTAAATTCAGGAAAATAGGGCTCGAAAAAAAAAACTGAAGATAATTATGCAAAAATTATTTAAAACAATTTAGTGAGAAGTGTAACTGAACACATAAGTTTCGTTCAAAGTAGACTATGTGATAAACAGTTGGGTTGACATTGGTCCCACTTAACCACGGAACATTCTGTTGTTACCCGACAATCCAGTCGAGTGAAATCTAGTGTACGAATTCATTTGCACCTAAAGTAAAACAGCCGTAATAGCATCTGCTTCCTGTCTTGTGGACATAGCGTTATGGGGAACACACGTTAGCTACTGAGAAAGTGGAGCACAAACCTCTGCCTGAGCATGACTGAGTAAACACATCTAGGACTGAAATCGGTCTTGTGTAATAAGCTGTGATGCTCTAGACCTATATGATACTTCATTATGTATAGTCTGAAATAAGCAGTACATTATCGTGCTACATTATCTATAGAGGTTTCTATAAGAGCAATTCCAGATAGGGACCAAAGTGCAATTGCACAGGTTACAGTGACTGCTCTGCAAATAGGAAGGCTGAACGGAGAGCATACAGATAAAGAAACGTGGCCTTGGCAATAAAATAAAATACTCTTGAACGAAACGGTCTTGAGATTGGAGAAAATTACATAACGAGGATCTTATTCTTTACTAAACGCTGTTGGTGATCGTGAACAAATTAAGGAGATACGAAGGACGGATCCTGTAGCATGAATAGAGAGATGTGACGTGCGTATATAGTTTTAGTTAGATAACATGAATGGTTAAGAATACTAGGAATACCAGAGTAGAGATGATGCATACGAATATTATAGAAGAAAGTTTTACGGTATGAATTCTGTCGACGTGGGATAGGGTCCAGTGGGGGGCTCTTTTGTCAACACGGACATTAACCTTCTGTTTCTATACAAGCAGGGAATCTGTTGATTAACTGAGACTGTAAGTTTATAGAATGGGGGCCGGGATAATTCAGTCGGTATAGCGACTGACTACGGGCTGGAGGACGAAGGAGTCGGAGTTCGAGTCCCGGTGAGAATTTTCTGTTCTCCATGTCGTCCAGATAGGCTCTGGGGTCCATCCAACCTCCTATACAGTGGGTACCAGTGGCTCTTTCCACGGAGGTAAAGCGGCCAGGGCGTGAAGCCAACCACTCACCTGCAACTAGTGTCGATGTCACGAAAATGTGGATCTATACATCCACTCCCCATACGTCTTCATGGCTTAGTGTTTAATTGGTTAAGGACAGGGACAGCTTTACCTTACCTTTATAAGTTTCTAGAATAGTAGAATGGGACTAGTCTAGTAAATATTGCGTACCGTATATTTTGTTCTATAAATGATTAGAACACGACATTTACAGATCTTAAAGACGCGTGTGTTCAGAATATGGGTAGGTTTCAACTGCGTTAGGACAGGGTCTACCAACAAACTCTTCTGAACACTGTTATATATATTTACATTCGAACTCCGAGGTTCCCAGCAGGAGAAATATTTTTTTACCTCCACGGCACCGAGACTGACTCTGGAACCGACACAGCCACCCTTAAAATGAGTACCAGGGGTGATTTCCGGGAGAAGAAAGCGGCCAGAGCGTGAACCTGTTAACTCATCTCCATCCACTGCCGGGCTCAAGAATGGTGGAGCTATACCTCCACACCCCCATATATCATGGCATAGTGCATAATTAAGCACAGGGATAATTTTACCTTTTGCTATTTCTTAAAAGACAGGGAATTTCCGGAACAGCTGGGCAAATATCAGCTTCAAAGGAAAGGATCTGCTGCAAGGAATTAGTTGGGAGTTATGAAGATTGCTACGTATGGTGCAGTGGAATAAAGAAAGGGAAGTGGTCGTGGCAGTTTTCAGGATGCTATATTGAATTCTCCCAACTAAAACCACAAAATAATATAACAGCACAGTCGGTTCCTCAAACAAATTCATGCGAAGCATTTCCGCTTTTCATTAAACAGAAGAGTGAAAACGGAAGTGGAGGAAAAATATTTTAGAAATTTTTATGGTAGACTCTGCTCTCGACCGTTGAATCCTACAGCATGAGTAAAATTAAGATTAAATTCCAATAAATGCAGCAGTGTTTTCTAATTATAAAATAAACCCTTTATATGTTTCGATCAATGATGGCCATTATCGGAAGGCTATCAGCACTATAAACGAAACACTTCACGTGTTTTACACGCATGTGTTGTCTTGTAAGGGTTACAGCAATAGTATTTGAAACAAGTTTTTTTAATACCAAAATTTTCTAACAAGTACAACCGCGCCCGTACCACGCATTTAGACCAACACAATGCAGACGACACCCTGTGAAGGAACACGACAATCAGTAGGTATCACAGCAAGACATCATCATCATCATCATCATCATCCATAGCCATCCTTAGAAGATTCTGCCAGACTTCTCCATTCTGTCGTGAATTAGACAACAACAGGGTTTCACTTCTCTGGATTCCGCAACAGTAATTTCTTTTTACAGAGAGAGGTCGTCAGTCTTGCTTCCAACCCCGCAAACTGGAGGATGATGTCTCTGTAAATACGACAGGGTGGCTCAGTTACACCCCCAGACATTGTATTGTCTTTTCTTCGCCTTTTACGATTCGCAGGGCTACTTTTGAGGTACTCTAACCCGCCTCCACAAGGGAGAAAGATAGATTCTACTCAATCGAAAATTATATTACTTTTAAACAATATATTTTAATACTGGTGTTTTAACCCTTACAAAACAACATGCACGTAATGCCGGTAGCCTTCCCCATGATGGTCATCAATGGCCGAAATATTATTAAAAAACTGTTACATTTCATGGAATTTAATACTAATTATACATATTTATGTTTTGTTGTATCGCACTGCTGGAAAACGCGGAAACGAAAGACCACAAGAACCGCAGTCGACTGCAAAGCGTGACAGTCAGTTCAGGGGCCTGGCAGACTCGTTCGCTCTAATATTCACTATACTGTTCGGCAATCAAAGTTTACTGGAACAGAAACTACGAAACATTGCGTTACTTTCGCGGGCCGTCTCCAAGTGCAACGATGAGTGGAGATTTTACTAAAAATCATAGGCTTAGACTTGGTTATGTTGTTGGGAATGTCAAATTTCCGAACTGTCCTACCTCACGTCCTTGGGGTGAAAGAATCTTATGTTTCACGCAGAAATAAATACGGTGTGCGCAACATCTGTAAATCTTTAGAATTCAAGGACGTCTTAATGAAACTTATATGCTAACTTAATATTTTGTGAAAATGTTTAATATGATGACCGTTTCTGAGAAAATCTGTAAACTTTAATTCAAGCTTCATGCAAGGCACGATATATTCTACACTTGATACATCTATCTATGGCCCTACTGCCCTTTCGTTGGACCTTAGCTCCTTTCTCAGCTTCCTACTCCTATATGCATGACGTATGGGTGAATGTAAAATCTATCGATCTTTATTCCTATCTGACGGTTGTAATAAAATAATTTATACATTTATTTAACGAGAAATTTTTATGAAGAACATTAAGTATATACAATTGTCCACGAAATATTGTCAATAAATCTATTGATTAATCATTAAGTGATTCAGAGTTGTTACGTAAGCAAGACAATAGGTATACGTATATTAAACATTACAGGAATCCACGATTTTCCGGTTCGATGAAATCCCATTTTTAAATATAATTGTATCGACCCCGAGTCTCACGGAAATTAAAAGTATAACCACAACCGGACTTCAGGGGGTCGATATACGCATGCCACCAAACACAAACCAGGCACGACACATGTCGATCGCTTGGTTGTTTTGCATAACATATATAGCACACAAATTACACAATGCACGTTTGGTCAGGTGTTCGTACTGTAGAGACAGAACAAGTGTTTGACATGAAATACGAGTGACTATGCTTCAGTTCTCCTTCATATGTGTTTGGTTTGTGTAACGTTCAACTCTTCAGCAGAGAAGCGAATACTGTCCTTCATTGAGATTGGGAAAGACCGGTCACAGCCACACACCTGTGTCGATATTTTAGTGAAACTATTAACGTTTATGACAGACCGTGGGTTTCAGTATTGACCCACGAGCCGTGTGTTGCGACCTGCCCTACTTAAAGTACGCTACTATAAATGACCAACCCCACGGAACAGTCTGTCATAATAAGCTGCTCTTATTTCAGATATTAAGAAATTTTCCGCCCTTTCTGGGAAATTTGAGGTTCACATGAGAACCCGCCAC